CAATCACAAAGCATCAACCTGTTGGAACTGCGAGCAGTTCACCTGGCCTTACGTAGTTTTCTACCCCTTTTCCAATCACGCCACATTCTGGTTTTGACAGACAATATCACAACCAAGGCCCACGTAAACAGACAGGGGGGTACTCATTCCAAACTTCTGATGCAGGAGACAGCCAAATTGTTCAAATGGGGCGAGGTCAATCTGTTTTCGCTCAAGACAGAACACATAGCAGGGGCCTTAAACACACAAGCAGACTGGCTCAGCAGGGCCACGATAGACCAGGCAGAGTGGCGCATACACCCGTCTGTCTTCCAGGAAGCAGTGCGGAGGTTTGGGCAACTGGTGATTGATCTATTTGCCTCTCCTCTCAACGCCCAATTGCCCCGGTATATGTCAAGATACCCGACTCAGGGGGAGGAGGCCGTCAATGCCCTGCGATGTCCATGGCCTCCCGGACTTCTATATGCATTTCCTCCACTGCCGGTAATACCCATGTTGATCCAGAAGTTACTGGAGGAACGAGCGGAATTGATATTGGTTGCCCCTTATTGGCCCAGGCGAACGTGGTTCGCAGATTTACAGAACCTATCGACAGAACAACCTTGGAAAATTCCACTGTCAAAGGTTTCCCTCTCCCAAGGGCCGATACTTCACCCGAACCCACAATGGCTCAGTCTAGCCATATGGAGGTTGAGCGGAGCCGTTTAAGGGCCCAACAAATTTCAGAGGATGCTATTGCCACTATTCAAGCATCCAGATGGGCCTCAACAAATCGTATATACGAGGCCACGTGGTCAGCCTTTTGTTGCTGGTGCCAGGGGTCTAAGATCGACCCAACTGCTCCATCAATAGGACAATTATTGGATTTTTTACAGGAGGGGTTGACCAAGGGCCTATCTCCAAATACTTTACGTAGACAGGTGGCGGCTTTAGCCTCGGTGATAACCTGGGGTGACCTCCATTCCATAGCACACCATCCACATGTCCGCAGCTTTCTCAAGGGTGCTGCAAACTTACGACCTCCTGTAATTCACCGCTATCCCACCTGGGATCTCAACAAGGTGTTAACTGCACTTACAACTGGTCCGTTCAAGCCTTTAAGAACCACTAGTCTTAAATTCCTGACATATAAGGTGGCCTTCCTAATTGCAATCACATCTGCTAGAAGAATTTCCGAATTGGCGGCATTGTCAATGCGAAAGGACCTGTGCGTGTTTCATGCGGACAGAGTGATTCTCCGTTTGGATCCATCGTTCACTCCTAAAGTAAATTCAACCTTCCACAGAGCGCAGGAATTGGTCCTTCCAAATTTTTGTCGGAAACCATCTCATAGACTGGAGCATCAATGGCATCGACTTGACGTTCGAAGGGCCTTAAGCATCTATCTAGACCGCACGGCGGCATTTCAAAAATCTGAGGCTCTATTCCTATCCTTCAATCCATCCACTTTAGGACAAAAGGTGTCGTCCATGACCATCGGTAGATGGTTGAGAGCCACAATAGCCAAAAGTTACGAATGCCAGTCCATCTCAGTTCCTAAGGGCATTACAGCCCACTCAACAAGGAGTGCGGCAACATCAGCAGCATGGGCCACACAGGCTTCCATAGACAAAATTTGCAGAGCGGCAGCTTGGGCTTCACCATCTCCCTTTGTCAAAAATTATAAAATTGATGTCTATGCCTCAGTGGACGCTTCATTTGGCAGAAGAGTCCTGCAGAAGGTCCACAGAGTTTAGGAGTGGATTTCGATCCAGATGGAGTCCCTCCCTAAGGACAGGCCAAGCTTTGGTATGTCCCACTTCTGGATGCTCTGAACAGCTCATGGGAGAAAGGGCGTTGGTACTTACCTGATACACCCATTCTCTGTGAGCTGTGAAGAGCATCCAGCCCCACCCATTTCTTTCCGTCTGGTGGGGTTCCGTTCTAGTCAGGGATCTAGATTAGGTGATGAGTCCCGGACTTTGGCACTCAGTCTTCGCAAAACTGGGGGATGCAGAGGAGGTGTCCCGTGGAAGAGGAGGAGCGTCCTGGAGTTTTAAGCCCAGCCTTTCCAGAAGAGACTGAAGCACCTCCCACTTCTGGATGCTCTTCACAGCTCACAGAGAATGGGCGTATCAGGTAAGTACCAATGCCCTTTCTGGTTTCCCTAAGTGAGCTTCAGCAGCTAATAAAAAGGCTTGTAAGCCTTTATATATATTTATAACAATTAGTGCTTGGATTTGCTTGCTTTTCTGTTAACGCCACATCATTTCTCCCTCTTTGTCATCTTTATACGGCCTGTAGAAAATTTAGGCATCTGATAAATGAAATTAACCAGCAGTAAAAAAAGAACACCAGGAACTTTTCATAAATTTTTCAGTAGACTTCTTAAGATTGGCATGAAAGCCATTTGATTTAAGGCCAAAAATATTTTTACTATCATAGGTCATGTGTCTATGAAATACACATATGTTTTCCTTATTTGCTACTTGTTTTCAAGGGTATACCTAATTTATAGATATGTCATAAAATATTATATTTAAGCCAGAGCTGAGACTTTGGTAGGTTCCCTAGAATTAAAAAGGTTCAACTTTTAGGATTAAAAACAATCTTCTATTTGTGTCTGCTTCACAGAACATACTGCTGGCAGGCCACCTGTTGAGAGATCGCAAAGCTTGCTACATGCTGTGCTGCCAGGTGGGCCAAGTGAAGTCACACACTGTTTATGTAGGCATCACTACTGGGTTGTGTTTGGCAGATGACCCGATTTTCTTCACAGTAAACACTTCTGTCCCAAACATAAACAAATGCTGCAGATAGAGCAAGCTATAGAAGCATATTTCAAATGAACAAGATACGGGATCAGGCTGGACCTGCAGGCAGTGCCTAGTAGGTGCAAAATCAGTCACTGAGAGAGAAGAGAGGGCTTCAGAATCATGGGATAAGTTAGGAGACAAAATTGAGATTCATGCCAGCAATCAGAACCAGACAACAGCTGTCTCTCTCTAAACAAACCGGGCTAAGAATGTCTTCAGGAAAGGGTACCAAACTCAAATTGTTGGTTCCCAAAGGCATTCCTTGCTCTATCTTTCTTAATGGAAAAATGGAGGGGTAAACACGTGGTGGAAATTTCTGTCTCAAAAGACTTTCATCTTGTGGCTTCAACAGAATGCTTTCTCTGCTGCGGTTGGACAGTTGGCTGATCATCAAAAAGCGACGTATGTGAGTAGAGAGTTACAGGACACCCTTAGCTCCCTATTACTGGATGCGGTGAGGCAGAGCCTGTACAGTGATGCATAAATTTGAGTTCTTGTTGTGAATAGGAGGTGGCTCAGTGGTCTAAATCAGTGATCCCCAACCTTTTTTATGCCACGGCCCGGTACCGGCATCAGCTGGGCGCTGCGGCCCGGTACCGGCATCAGCTGGGCGCCGCCATCTTTTTTTGATGAAAAAGTGCTTCTGGTGAGCTTTCTACCCGGAAAAGCTCACCGGAAGCACTTTTTCATCAAAAAAAGATGGCGGAGCCCAGCAACCAGCGGCCCGGTAGGACTTGTTCCGCGGACCGGTACCGGTCCACGGACCGGTGGTTGGGGACCCCTGGTCTAAATAGTCCCTTTTAACTTGGTGATGCTATGCTTCTCTAGCAGTATACTATACAGCTTATCATGCTTGCAACCGATTTTCTCTTCACTGTTGCTCATCTGTTGCCAAAAGTAAGCTGTAAATCTATTTAAAATTCTTCAGGTTTTGATACTAACTCCTCATCTTTTATCTGTTCTGTGGGTAGGCCAGATATATAACTGATGTATTTAACAAATTCACTGGAATCTCCCATTGCAGATATAATCAACTTTATGAGTTCTGGTTCTCATTTTTAAAAACTCAAAAAGGATTAATTTTTACTAAGAAAGAGTTAATATTGATCATCCTCCAGATAGTCATGTCATTTTTTTCATCACACATTGTAAGTTTCTTACTTATATTCCCACACAAAACAGAGGCAAAAATTAAGCATTTTTAATGTTTTTCTAAATAGTGCAGAAAATATCTGGTTTATGTACAGGTAGTCCTGAAATACAGGTAAGCTTAATACAGGCTTAAATACAGATAGTTACAATGGCAGTTGGGACCAAAATTTCCATTACTAATCAATGTGGTCATTATGTACAATTACATCACTTTTCATTTCAGTCTCAATTTCTGTCATTAACTGAATTGCAGTGGTTGCTAGGTGAGGACAGGAAGTAGCAAACCAGGGGTGGCCCAAAAGCAGGCTAGCATTCAAGTAAATGATGGCTGCTAGGTGGAGGAAAACATGTGGAGTGCAGGGTGAGTGGCTGGAGTGGTGCAGGGTGAGTGCAGCTAGGCTTAGGATGGCTGTTGCCTGGAGGGGGAAGGAGTAACATGAAGAGGGGGAGGCATGGCAAAACTGAGGGAGAATGTCTGAGAGTGTAAGGGAGGCACAGTGAGGCTCAGGAAGGGTGTGTTGGGGTGTACAAGTGGTGGGTAGGCATGGTGAGGTTTGGGGAGGATAAACAGGGGTGTGCAAGTAGCTGGTGTAAGCATAGAGGAGCTTGGGTGTATGAATGGAAGTGACTTTCCCAAGTGTCTTGCATCTTTTCCTAGCAACTTCCCATTGAGTTTAGGGGAAGCTGGCATAGAAGGTTGCAAATGGCAATCATGATTGCAGGGTGCTGCAACTGGCCATAAGCGTGAGCCAGTTGCCAATGGGAGTACCGGGATGGCCAATTGTAACCATCATTCATTCAGCACTGTCATAACTTTGGACAATTGCTGAATGAATGGTTGTAAGTTGAGGATGCCCTATAGAGAGCAGGATAGATGTGGCTTGCATTCAGGATTTATGTTGCTCAGAATCACAATACTATATAATGACTCTTCAAATATATGTAGACAAACTGATGTAATCAACTATGAATTATGACTGATCTGGCAAGGTGAATTATTTATGTAATTTATCTTTAACCTTATAATCCTTTCTTTGTTTCCTTTCTTTTTAGTTAGTGTTGCCAGAATATTCCATCCATAGCCTTTTCTGCATAATGTTTCTGTGTGCTCAAGAATGGTTAACTCTGGGCTTGAATATTCCTCTGCTTTTCTATCATTTTTGGAGGTAAATCTAACTCTATTTTGATTCCTTTGAGTTCAAAAATTTGTCATCTCTAGCTCCCTGGTCTTGTATTATGAGTAGCTACCAGACAGGCAGAAATGTAATAAATAAATATCTTTCTTTATATGGAGATGATGATGTGAAAACTGTATCTGCTGTGAAGTGTAAGATTGTACAGTATGTGTTAATTTTGCTAGCTGACATGGGGATATCAAGGGCATGGGTACATCCAGCATGTAAAGCATTGTCTTCTGATGGTAGTGAGTGATGCATAGAATAGGGTGAGGTCTCATGACTTGGTGACAAAGTCCATGTTATACTTATATGTTAAAAATACCAGGAATGGCTAAAAAAATGTCTGGCTGTCTTACAGCATAAACTGTCTGGCTCTCCTACAACATAGACTGCAGTGGACCAGAAAGATAATTTGTTTAACATATCATAAAACAAAAGAGCCAGTTTGGTTTAGTTATTAAGGTACTGGACTCAGTATGGAGAAAATTAGGTTCTAGTCTTATCTTAGACATGGAAGTTAGCTAGGTGGCTTTGAGGTAATCTTTTTTCAGCCATTGGAATTATGCAATGGCAAACTGCTTTCAAAAATGTTTCCAAGAAAACTGCATGGACTTGTTTATATCACTGAGTCACAATGCACAAATAAAATAATTATAAGGCAACTTCATAATTCTACTGTAGTGTTCCTTCACTCATGTATGAAGAGAAAGAAAAAGGCACACTCATACAAGATACCTTATTCTTATCACTCATTGTGCCTCCACAGGCTTTCTCATAGGGAGTTAATTTTCTATAGGATAGAGCCTACTCTAGTGGTATAGACTCTCCCTTGGACTTAGAAACTTGTGAGAAGAGAATTTTCTCAATAGAAAAGATTCTTGCCTGTGCTTTAGCCTAATTGCATGGAGGTCTATGACGTTGTGACAAGAATGAAATAGCGAGAGGACAATGAAGTACTTTGGGAACAGAACACATGATTAAAGACCTTCTTGTGGCTTGATATAATTTTAGTGAGAATCTTGAATATTTTCTTGTGTTCTCTTTCAGGTATTTCCATTGTCCAGCAGATAGCACAGAGCTAGCCTATGATCCACCTGCAGTGATGAATGCAGATACCTTGCGTTATTGTCAAAGGGAAGCCTGGTGTAAACTAGCTTTCTATCTCCTCTCATTCTTCTACTATTTGTACTGGTAAGCAATTGCTAACATTTAGAAATGTTTCTTTCCTCTCTATGTGCTGCACTGCTATCCTATGAAGGTTCCTAGGGGGAATAGTTTCTACTAGCTCAAGGACCATCAGGTTGTTAACAACATTATCCAAATATTAATCATTAGGTTGATAACAATCAAATACAATGATTACATGTTTTTGAATATTCCTCAGCATAATTTGCCTTTCCCTTAAGAAAACTGGATCACTCAAAAGATCATAATTTATATCATATATTTAAATCTTTTTTCCATAAATAAAAGTAATTATTAATTTACAAATATGGGACTTGGAAAAAATCTATTAGTTTTATGGATGGCTTTTTAACAGCAGGATTTGGGAATGCTGTTTTTATATTAACTTTATAATGTCGTATATCAGAGTGATAGTTTTATTTTTCTAGTTACAGATATGAGAGCTGCCTAGCACCAGGCATCAATATTTGTTCACAAACAATTTTGTGAATGTCTGTATGTGAAGCAACAGACTGCTCCAAATAAAGCCCATTTTTACCTCCTCAGCAGATAAAATAGACTCCGTAAAATGCACTATAAAAACTAGCACTGTATTTCTAAGAAGGCACTTTTACTTCTAAGGCTATCCATTATTGCTGCTCTATGTAAGTGATGTGCAATCTCACAGTAAGAGCATTATTTGGTATATATGCCAATATTAAATTTTATAATGCTTTATATTTACATATGGGCTGTTTTTCAAGAGCCTGATTCCAGATTGTGGATAAAACAACAATATAACTTATGGCAGTCGTACAATAAATACTTTGTATACATTAAGTAACCAGCCATCATTAATTTAATTTCTTTGCTAGTGAGTATGGGGTTTGCTCCCTCTTTATATGTAATAGCTTGCCCTAGTAGTGTTGGCTTTCTTCTTGGTAGTTTTTTGATTAGGGCGCTGTTCTTGTCTTGATTATTTGTCTGATATTAATCTTTGTTTATCTGGATATTGGTTGCTGGGGAGGATGTTTTCTGATCTTTTTGTTTCCTTCTTATATAAACCACATTTGTACATCATTCAAAAAAGGCAATTTAAAAAAGCTACGTGTGTTACAGTCAGAAACAGATTTTGTTTACCCTTTTCTTTCAAAATCTAGATCAGTTATCTCTCATGTTCTAGATGAATGGATATTACAAATACAAGAATCTTGTTGGAATTAAGTGAATGTGGACAATTTCACAATGGGATATGATCTTATGAATTTATGGATGTAGTCCTGAGCTCCATGGAAGAAGTAAATGCACCATACAATATAAAAACAAATCACCATATGTAGAAATAGTCCTATCTCATTTAACTACTGCTATAGCACTGAGTGAATTTCATTTGGGACTGTTCTACAAAGCAGTGTTTTATAATTAAGGGCATTTTTAATGGACTCTACAGTATAATTAATTATATTTCAAAAAATTGCATTGCAGTTCTTTAAAAAGCTCACTAATTATTTTTGCTTTTGTCCCAACGGAAAAAAAGACAATCAAATAAAGAAACAATATTTAAATATAAATTTTAAGTTTATCTCGGAGAGAGAAAAATTCCAGAGATGACAAAAATTCCAGTGATCATCTTTCAGAGCTATTGCATAAGGAATGCAGTGACTTAGTGTCAGATTTGTGAAGAAAATGGAAATTGTAAAGAAAAATGTATTGCATATTTCTTGTTAGCAGTGTTGAGTCCGTTGCAATTTAAATATAGCCTGTAGAAATACAATGGTAGCATATTGCCCAAGTAAAGAACTTCATAATATAAAATATTTTATAAAAATATAAAGGATATGCATTTTTCAGGGAATCTTTTCATATTCTTCTTTTTTTCTGTTTATGTTCAGCATGATCTACGCTTTAGTGACTTCCTAATTTAAAGATTATGTAAAAGACTGAAAACAAAGATGACCGTATAAAGATCCTGCCTGCAATGATGCCTAAAACACAGCAAAGAAATGGAAGCTTTAAATCCAGGAACCATACAGGATATAAAAGAGTGAGAGATAAAGCCCTATAAGAATAACAGGTGACAGCACAAGCGGGGTGGGTGGGGGAAATCAAGTGATGGATGGCTGAGCAAGCTCATTTTCATCTTTCCTCCCTTTGTTCTAAAACTTGCATTTTTTTTATTTTCCTGGATAAAACAAACTAGATATTTATAATGTGTGAAGTGGAGAGTTTCATCTGCATGTGATGGAGTATGACTTTTGTTATAATAATTTATCTTCAGAGTGCAGATTCTGTCACAAACAAGATTGTTTCTGTACCCTTTTCCCCCAGGGGGACTTGAAAGCAAGGCAACTATCCTCTGGACCTGTGGTCAAGTAGATGCAGATAATAGATGTGTACAATATTCCACATTCAATCATATGCTGGAGAAAAGTTGGGAAACATTTGGCTTTTTGTGATTTCAGTGACTGAAGAAAGCATATCTTGGGAGACCACAGGGCCAAAACACATTCAAACTGCATTCAGTTATTCTTCATGGTAAATGCTAACATTCCAACTATGCTGAATTAGGATAGGTAGTGCAATAAAATAATATTATGTTATATATAATAATACTGTTATGTTATATCAAGCATTCTATAACATTGCATTCCTCTTACTGGAGGAAAAACATGTCCTAGTAATGTAATGAATGCCTCAACAATGGTCTACACCCTGCAGTGTACATTAAAATTTACTTTTGTCTGGAGCTCTGTCATATCAGTGTAATTGTTTCAGTTGAATTAAAATCAACAGCCTTCCTTCCTTCCTTCCTTCCTTCCTTCCTTCCTTCCTTCCTTCCTTCTTCCTTATGTATCCAGTAGAACTACATCATGGTAGATGTTGAAAAACAAAATGCTGATAGTTTTTCATTTTGTGTGGTTCATTTTGTGTGGTTCATTTTGTGTTGTTATGAAATATGCTCACAAAGACAGTAAACATTTGTGCTGACGTATTTAACGCTACATTCCCAAATATATTCGTTGGGGATAAAACCAGTGAAATTTTCTTCTGAATTCCTACAACTAAGTTCTTCCCTATACAAAGAACTGCCATAACTTATGATTTTTGAAGAAAGAAAAGATAAATATTATAGTAGCCTAAAATCTCAGCAGGTGTGGCACATTTGCATTAATTGATAAAAATTTATTTTATGTTGAATAGAGTTGAACACCTTATTCCTTCAGCCCCTCTTTTTTCCCATCAGTGTCAACTGCAAAGTGAAAAAAATACAATACAAATGACTTCCTGGAAAGAAGGAGAAACTGGTAGTGTAACATGTATGTTTTTAAAAATATTTATTTATTTATTTTTATTCATTTAAAACATCTATATACCTGCCAAATGTATGCAACAAAACCATGAGCAGCTCAAACACAATAGTAACTACAAGAAAAAACAAAAACTAAAATACAATTTGGTTAAATTACAAACAAATGTAGAAAGAAATTATGGAAAGAAATATAAGAAAACATATATTACAATTACATGCCTGTGTAAAACACTATGCCATTATATGATACTATATACCATTATTGTTTGTATAAAACACAATACCATTATAAAACAGCTCAATTTGAACAAACTGAACCTTGACTGCACAAGGTTCTTGTCTGGAAAGGACCAGTTTAAAGATGGAAAGTGAACACATTTATTCAGCTCACATTTTACACCTGGGCTTGCAGTGTCTATCTAACTATGTATTTTAACTTGTTTGATAAAACAATAAATTCTAAATTCTTAGTAAGCATGTATGTTTTATGTTTTCAAAGTCACCTGTGAAAAGACATAAAGCATGCCAACTTAGAAATTAGCTCCATATTCATTGGCTCATATTCTCAGGTATATGAGTATTGGATTGTTGTCTAAAATGATACCCCTGGGCACATTTTCTTGAGAACAAATACCATTGACTTCAGCAGGAGTCCTAGTCTCATCACCTACTAGACATGGGATCGTTTTGTCAACAGATTCTCTGATAATGCCACCCAATAGTGACTCTACATTCAACCTACTAAGTTAATCTTGGGACTGCCCATTTACTGCGTTTTTTGCCAAATTTTTTGAGTTCATTTTTTATTCCTATCCTGCATTTTTTTCTGATGAAAAATTCTAGAGGCTGAATAGCTTACGTTGTATTATCTTCCTTGTATGCTATAAAAGTATTACTCAACTATGGATTTGGAATATTTATATAATATGCTATAAATTAATCTTTCTAGAAATGGATAATATTATACTTCATGCTTTCAGTGCATATGTTCAGTGAGGTACATAAAGTTAATGGGTATTTGGTAAATAAATTAAAACAGTAAATATTTTTAGCAGACTATAACGATGACAATATTGTTATATTGTCAAATGCTTGTCAGTAGCACTGTTGAAATTCAAAGTTGGAATCTGTATAATTCTATTTAAAGATTTATTTAAATAAATCTTTGCATTTTTGTAAGGTTTGAGCTATCTATAATAATTTTGTTAAATGCAGTTGGAATCTTTTGTGTTTTGTTTAAAAGTAAAATACTCAGTTAAAAGGTGTCTTACTGTATTGTGTTGTGTAAACTTCAGCCTAGACAGTCTTGTGTGCCCAAATAGTCCAATATGTTAATCATATTTGCAAAATGTCTTCCCTTTATTATATTGGTCTTGTTTTAAGAATGGGGGGACATTGTCATGAATGGGCACAAATAAACTGAGATCCAAGTATGATTGTCTGATTGAGGCATCTTCTCCTTCCTATCTTTGTGCTTAAACAGAGGAGAGAGAGAAAGCTGTTTTGAATGTGCATTTCTTTGCATGTGAATGCTTATGCCTTATGGTCAGATCTACCATGTGTTTGCTGAACAAACTTTGAAGGACCTTCTATTGATAATTGGACACAATTAATGAATAATTAATGCATATAACCATATGGTGTTCCATCAGTTGTGATATACCTCTTTGCCACAAGATTGGAAGCAACCACAGAACATAGAATAACAGAGTTGGAAGGGACCTTGGAAGTCTTCTAGTCCAGCGGTTGCCAATCGGTGAGCCACGGCCCACTGGTGGCCATGAGAAAAATTTTGGTGTTCTGCAGAGAAATGTCACCCCCAGAGCACCCCCCCAAAACAATTAATCCAGGCTGCACTGGAACACAAGGCTGCGCTGCCCACATGGCCTGCGGGAACCCTCCCTGCCCACTTACTCCTTACCTGGCAAACTTGCCTGCTAAATTGCTATTTTTCCTTTTTCCGACCATCAGCTGTTCTGCTGTGCTGGAAGATTTAGATTAGCTAGAAAGCAGGAAACCATTGGATCTTTAGATCTTTTAAGCAAAGCCAAACCTTCCTTAAGACTGAAGCTTCTATTATTCAGTGCAGATAGCTGATGGCAGAACGATAGATCTCTGAATGAATCTGTGATTCTGTGAGCAACTCAATCTGCCTGCCTGCTTTGCCTGATTTTAGGTAAAAGTTGCTGTTTTTTATAAAAAATTCAATATTTATATAAATATTTATAATATTTACATGCCCAGCCTGTTACATGACCACCAAGCCACACCCACAAATTAGGCCACACCCACAGAACCGGTTGTTAAGAAATTTGAATCCTGCCCCTGCCTCTGTGTTTGTGTGTGTGTGTGTGTGTGTGTGTGTGTATGACAGAGAGGGAGAGGGAGAGAGGTTAGATCAGATCTCGCTTTCTCTCTCTCTCTCCCACCAATGTCAGCAAGCCACCGTCAGTCAAAATTCATATTAGTGGTCCCTGGGATTTAAAATTATGAGTTTGGTGGTCCCTGAGGTCCAAAAGGTTGGTGACCCTTGTTCTAGTCCAATCCCCTGCTCAAGCAGGAGACTATACCATTTCAAACAAATGGCTGTGCAGTCTCTTTGTGAAAGCCTCAAGTGATGGAGCACCCACACCGACATTGATCTACAACCATCTACATCTCCAGCTACAAACATCTCCAGATCTATAACCAGATCTACATTGTCCTATATTTAGACTACAGTTCTGTGCTGTTGCATTGGTACTCAAAACCCTCAAGGTAATTCCACCTCAGTCACATAAGTCAAAAACATTGAGAAACAGGAAGAGTGTGATAGAGTGAAGGAAAAGTTTTTTTTAAATCTTCTTTATATTTTCAACCTGGGAAAATATCTCAACTAGCACTTAAGATGTTCTAAATTATTCTCTTGTTATTGTTTGAGATGGAAGTATTTCCAAGGTTGAAAGAACTCAATGTATACTATGAAGTTTTCCATTCTAGAAAATGTATTCTGTTTATATCTGCATTAAGCTGGTGAAATGTCAATGGTTAGAAAACTGAATGGGTATTCTTTTCATGAAGATAAAGTTCTTTATGTTGCTGAATCTAATTTATTACCTCAGTTAGTAGTTTAATTAAATTCCTCAATTTTTTTTTGCAATATATTATATAAATGCTATCAATTCTAAAAGCTTTGCTCAATTTCAGTGTTATTTAATTGCTTTTGTTTGCTCTTCTATTATGAGCTTTTGGAGAATCTCCTTTTGCTGATTTATAGATTTTGTATGTATTGTGTTCAAATATTCTTCCGTCTTTCTTGGAGCAGGTGTCTGTTTACTATATCATCTTGAGTGATACTTAATAAATTGATCCATCACATCCGTCATTGAGGAGATATTCTTAGTTCTGTCCCAAATAAAAGTAATAGTTATTTGGTTCTTTACACTATAAGCTAGCAATTTATCTGACTTCTTGACTTTTCCAGAATATTTTGGTTGAACAAAAATATTTTGTAGGTCTCATTTATTTCCATTAAACTCTGCTAGTTGGACTTTTTAAAAAAACTTTGTTCTAAGCCTCAAACTAAATATACTTGGGCTTTAATTCTAATTGCTTCAGTTTATTCACTAGTATTGTTTTTGTTTTTACATTCCTTTATTTTTGATGCCAGAGATATAACAATTCTGTCATAAATGCTTGTCTGGTGTCCTATACTGTAGTTTAACAAAATTTATTAAGCTAACAACAACACAACCTCCTTTAGTCTGGAGTT